TAATAATATTAAATTATAACACTATAATCAGAACAGTAGCTATTTTTGTAATGGTAATATAAAAACAAAGGTTAATGCTATCAAGTTATATTAAACTGTACAAGTTACCCTGGATGAGGTGGGGTGGAGGAACCCCATTGATTGATGTATATATAATACAAAGTCAGAACTGGGATCTAAAACTCTTGTTAACATCTGTTGGTCAAAGATGACTACAAACAAAGTTAGGTTTACTGGTTCATTGTCACAAGGGAGACAGCACACACTAGAGTACACCTCTCTCTGAAAGTGTTAGGACTTACAAGATTTGGTCTTGTTTAGGTGATTGTCTGAGGGTGTGGGGTTCAAGGAAGCAGTCCTTTGCTCTGGATTGGGTGCTGTCAGAAACAGGAGCAATTCAATGCCTTCCTTGATGAGAAAATAAAGTTGTTTATGATCAACCACCATTAGGGCCCAGACAACTCTTGACTGTCAGGAGCTGTTTGTCTCTTTCTCTTGCTGAAGACATTGATTTTGTAGGAAAAAGGTGATTGGTCCAGTCAACAGCTGGGTAACTCCATCTGGTGTCCTGATCTGTCAGACCCTCCTTTACCCTCATTTACCTACCTCCACGATGGTATCAGGGAAATGATTGGCATTTAGAAATTAGTCCTTAGTCCTTAAAAGGAAAGAATTTATGGCCTAACCAGAGGATTGTTTGGGGCCCACATTTGTTTGCTAGGGCCACAACAACAAAGTGCACCAAATTAAGTGACTTAAACATAAAGACAATTATTTTCTTATAGCTCTGGAAGCCAGAATTCTGAGATCAGGGTGTCAACAGAATTGGTTCCTTCCAGGGATCACAAAGGATCTATTCCGTGCCTCTCTTTTTGGCTTATAGATGGTCATCTCCTCCCAGCCTCTCCACATTATCTTCCTTCATAGGTCTCCATGTTCAAAATTTCTCTTCTTATATGGAGACCAGTCATATTAAGCTAAAGTCCATCTTAACAGCCTCCTCTAACTCAATCACCTTTTTTAACATTCCATCTTCAAAAAGGTGACATTCTGAATTTGAGGGCTAGGACTTTGATTGTGAATTTGAGGACAGGGAAACAATTCATCTCATCAGAGTGTTCATTTCTCTTTTGTGAAGATAGAGGTTTCCATTATACAAGGAACTAAACTATAAGAACAGCTAATACAAATAGAATGTTCCCTGAGTTCAATTTTTTTCCCTTCCCAAATGCCATGAAAGCACAGTGGCCTTATAACAGATGTGGTGGTACCCATGGCAGATGGATCATGTCTTTGGGGCTTACAGGCAGGACTGCTCTTGCATCATTCTCCTAAGAATGTCATGAAGAGGATGTAGTCAAAAGAAACTAGACAGGCACGCACCACCAACACGGCTAGGAAAAATAAACAGGAATCATCAATAAGTGACCAAAGCAACTGTGGGTCAGTAGTTTGCAGTCAGTTACACAGTGGTTTTTAAACCTCTTCTTCAAAGTGACAGAGAAGTATAATTACTAAGAAATTACTGTATTCCCGTCTGTTGCCTTCCCAGCACATGTTTCCCATTTCACTTCTCAAAGCTCTTGATTTCTTTGCAGTATACATCTATGTGATTCAGAGGCACTTCAAGGGGAGCCAGTAACCTGACCAGTTCAAGTTGACACAGAGGTTATTTGGGATTATGGAATAAGCAGATAGGACCAAGAACTGTTTTAACAGTATTGGTGCTATGAAGAAAGTCAACCTGAGAGCAAAGCCTATTAATAAAGAGAGATAGCAAAGCTGAAAGAACTGCAGAAAAGAAGAACAAGTCTGGATCAAACTGTACCTGAAACCCACAGAGCTTTGGACTTTTCAGTAAAATAAGCCAATAAATTCACTTTTTTGTGAATAAAACTATCTGAGCTACCTGAGTTCACTGCAACTCAAAACATCTGGAAAGATGTATCAGTCTCTCTGAAATGTCTGGTCTTCTTTCAAGAATGTATCAATTACTGCATTAAGATATTTTATTAATTTATGTTCAGGATTAGGAAGACTGATGAAGCTGTACCTTGGATTTCAGAAAAATGAAAGGCTAACAAGTGGGAATAATAGAAAGAAAACAGATTTTCTGTGGGGCCAGAACTAATTTCAAATTTTCTTCTTTTCTAAAATTTTTATTTATTTATTTATTTATTTAATCATTTTGAGACAGGGTCTCACTATGCAGTTCAGGCTGGCTTTGAACTTACTTTGTAGTCCAGGCTGGCCTCAAACTCACAGCAATCCTCCTGCCTCAGCCTCCCAAGTGCTGCAATTACAGTTGTGCACCACTATGCCCAGCTTCATTTCAGATTTTCAGTGTCATCAAAACCCTTGCCAAGCCACAGCAATATGTATGCTCAGTGATGCATATGTAGCTAAAGAATGAGAAAATACATGATCGTGAAGGGGTCCACTGTTTCTTGGAGAACTGATCTTCCCATCTCTTCTTTCTTTTGGCCCTCATGTTAGTCAGCTTTCCACCACTACAGTGAAACACCTAAAATAATTAACTTATAAAAAGAAAAGCTCTGGCTCACAGTTTTGGAGTTTCTAAAAAGTTCGTGACTGATTAGCCCCACTGTTTTGGGCCTGTGGTGAGGTAGCACATCATGGTAGGAACAGGCAGTGGAGAAAACCACTCATCTCATGACAAAGAGAGAAAAGGGGAAGAAGAAGGGACTAGGCTTCCACAATACCCTGACGGCATATTCCCAGTGATCTAAAGACTTTCCATTAGGCCCCACCTCTTAAAGATTCCACCACCATCCAATAGCCCCACTGAAGGTACCCAGCCTGTAAGGGACACTTATCCAAAACATAGCAGCCCACAAGAATGCGAGTCAACTAAAGTCACTCCTAGAATGTTGGGTGCAAAGCCCAGGTGGACAATGAGTTCCAAAGATCAGAGATGAACAGGAAGACAGACTATTAAGGGAATTAATCACTTCAATTGACTTCCCATCAAGAACTCAAAATAGGCACTAGGTTAAAAAACAGTAACTTATCATCTTGAGATCCCTTTAGAAAATCAGAAATCCCAAGATATATCCAAAAGAGAAGCAGAAACAGAGCATTGCCTAGCAATCAGAATATCTGAAAGAAAGTTTTGTGCAGACTCCTGCAGCACAGAAATTACAAAGTAACAAATGTAAAGACAAATAGGTTTATTAAGAAAAAGGAAGTACCTCATACTAAAAAGTGTAACTGTACATGAATATGCAAAACCCAGGGGACTGCAAGTTAAAGGGATACAAGAAGAAAATACAAAATAAATAGGAGCATTAGTAACTGCAACAGTAGCAGGCAAGGCAGAAAGGCGTATATAATAAAAATACACTTAGGTAAATGCTGGCAGAGGATGAGCAGTCATGTTAAATTAATTGCATCTATTAACATTACTTCTAGAAAAGACAACCCTCCAGACGGGAAGACACAAAAGACTAGCACCAAAATGAATCAGTGCTACCATAACTTTGTCTCTAGTTCCTTGTGACTAGAAGCTTTTGTCACCCACCAGGGAAGAGGAATCTCTACATCATGCCCAAAATGAAAATAACATGGTATAATTTGGGTCCTCTATTAGTCAACTTTCCTATTGCTGGGACAAAGTACGTAACACCTGCAACTTAAAGGAGGAGAGCTTTAATTTGGCTCAAAGTTTCAGAAGTTTCCGAAACTTCTGAAACATGGTTGGCCAGCTCAAAGGCAGAACTATCATGGCAGAAGGATATGGTGAAGCTCAATTCATGGTAGCCAGGAAGCAGAGCACAGGTGAAAAGTGACAGAGAGATATATCTTCTATAGGCACACCTCCACCTAGGTCCCCACCTCCTAACAGCAGTCAGCTACACCACCCTCACGATCTAATCACTTCCCTAGGAATCGCTTAATTCAGTCAAGTTGACAATTGAGATTAACTGGCACAGGGCCTTTATCCAAATACCAGGATGGCAGAATGGACTGCACATTCTATCAAAGATTCTATCAAATATTGTTGGGAGACTGCTCCCTCTTCTGGCCACCTCCATTCTTCTTTCCAGGTTGTAGTGACAATGAGTAGATGCTGGGCTTTGATCCCAAGGACATCTTCAGAAGTTATGACTCAGATGAAAATAAAAACAAAATGAAAATCAGTGGAGCCTGGCAACACTTAATATCATCTGACTTTTTATTACAGCCACCATGGTAATATAAAGTATAATCTCACTGTGGTTTTGATTTGTATTTACTTGATGACAAATGATATTCAGCATCTTTCATGTACACATTGTACATTTGTGTATTTTTGAAGAAAAAGTCAGTTAACTTTGAAATATGAAAGTTCACTTCAAATTCTTGTGATAGTATGTATTAGTAAAATAAAAACTAATATTGAAGACAATGGTACTATATTAAGATGTAATGTTTAAAAAAAATACTGTGCTTATATTTGCTATTTCTCTCCCAACTTGTCATCTAGTCTTTTATTTAAAAGATGTCTCATGTTTCTGTAACTTAAGAAACTTAAAATCCAAGTGTAAATGTTAATTATGCCATCTTTTACTTTTTAAAAGATACCTCTTAATTAAATGGCAAAAAAAAAAAAATCAGTGGAGCAATATTTCTTCATTTTCTTCTGGAACTTGGGTTTAAACCAAGGGCCTTCACACTAAGCTATATCCTCAGCTCTTTTTTTATTTTTTATTTGGAGACAGTGCTTCACTAAGGTGCTAAGCTGCCCAGGCTGGTCTCGAACTCGCAATCCTGTGTCAGCCTCTCAGGCTGCTAGGATTACAAGTGTGCACAACCACATCTGGCCTTTATCTCTTTTTCTACATATCAACTTTATTCTTAATATCTGATAGTCCCCTAAATCGTTCCTCAGCTTTCTGTAACTATTCTGGTTCCAATCTTCTGTCATGTCAGACATAACTAGCCACAAGTCTAATATTGCTGAGCAAAATTTCTCTATATTTTTTAGGGAAAAGAAGGTGTATCAATCAGAGTTTTATTAAAGAAACAGATATAACACAAGATAAACAAATGCATAAGAAGTTACAAGATTGCCTTCGATGGTCAGCCACAGACTTAGATGAAGAAGCGTGCAGAGGGTGTCTGCACATTGGAGACTGAAGGATTCAGTCCAAGGTCTGGAGTTCACTGCAATGTTCCGTGCAAGTCTTCATCAGGAGGCTGATGGGTCTGCCATGGAAGACTGATGAGTCTACACCAGAAGGCTAAAGGATCCAAGGCAGAAACCGAAGAGTCTGCATTAGAAGCCAGGAGATGACCTCCAAGCTGAATGGAAGCCCATCTTTCCTCATTTCCCGTTTATATCACACAGGTGATGATCCACCCTAGGGTAGCTCCTCTACACCCTAGGGTATAGAATTGCTGAGCCGATTTAGTTAAGCTTCTAAACTTCTCAAATTGACACAATCAATCAGTCAACTACTACAGAAGGTACCGGTGTATCTGTGATTATTTGTTTCGATCACACCAGTAGAGTCTATAGAAAGATCATAATTTTCCTTTTCTAAACATAGCACTAATTTTGACAGCAAGTGACAAACCAAGACAGATTGGAATTAAGTGGAAAATCTATGAGGTTATAGGAGAGACAGTTTTCTTTTTCCATTTTGCAGAACAACAAAATGTCACCTACACTAAGATTTTAGATCATTTGCTCACTTCCTATCTGGGGAAGGTGGTCTGCTTTTCCTTTTCCAATAAGTGTGGAAATTATGTTGTTTTGAGAAGTCACCAAAAGCCTATGTACAAATGTTTTACTTGTTGATCTTCCTAATAATTTAGAAAAACCTAGCACAATCATTTTTGATAGATGGAAATTTAGTATTGAATCGACTTACGAGGTGAATTAGAGTTTTACAGGAAAAGAGAACTGTAGCTGCACATTTCCGCACCTCATGCACAAAAGGTATGCACTGAACACAGCAGGTCTGCTGGTCTCATGCAGGTCAAACTAAATCGTCCACTTTATTCTCTGGGGTGGGTTTGAGGAGATACAGATGAACTAAGGCAAGGGCAATGTCTAAAATAAAAAGAGAGATGGATTAAGAAGTGAGGATTATTATTTAATAGACTCAGATATTTCTATAACAATTTGCTGCATTCTCAACCCAAATCTGAGAGGAAAGGGCAGAGGGAGATTAAGGCAATGGATAGAATCACTGGAAGGTGGAGTGCTGTCAATGACACTAAGTTTCGAGAAGTGAATATTTTTTTTTTAAATGAGCATTATGTCTGCCAGTCCTTTAGTATTTTCTGCTTAAATTGCCAGTATTGCAGGGTTTGTAGATTTTCCTCAAGCTATGTGAAGGCTCTTCATTTATTCCTGGCATATAAGGAAAATATAAAGCTCTTAGGGAAAAATCATTGTAGGCTTAGGAAACAGCACATGAAATATCTTTCAATAAGCTCCTAAACGCAGTGAATCATACCTGTCTCTGTCTTCTTTCTACCATGGCCTAGACTTGCTGTGTAAGAGGGCAAATGCCTAGTAACCTGTTGATTAAGGTTCTCCAGAGAAACAGAACTAAGAGAATATTTATATAATTATAACAGGAGATTAATTAGATTGCCTTACACAACTAGAGGCTGGAGAAAACATAGATAGTCTCACAATGGCAGTCTGCAGGCGAGAGATGTTGGAAAACCTATACCCACTCAAAGAAGCTACAAGTCTCAGAAAAAGAAAGTCTAATAACGCAGCCCTAGCCGGAGACTAAAGGCATGGAAACTTCCTAGAGGGCTGCTGGTGCAAGTCCACGTTCAGAAGCTGAAGAATATGGAGTCTGCTGTCTGTGGGTGATGGTAGCAGAAAAAAAAAAAAAAAAAAAAAAAAAA